TAAAACAGGGTTAGTTTAAAATGTGCCATAGGTATGTACTGGTCGTAACGGTCCTTGAAGCCTCTGGGATTCATTTTCATAGACTGTGCTGTCAAGATGGCAAGTATGATGTGTTTCTGCTCAGTCAGTTTCAACACATCTTCTGTGATGATTTATAGAAGAAAAATTAATTATAGGCTTATTTCTGCGACGATATTATACAAGGTTATTAGAATAGTTATACTGTATATATTTACGTGTCTGGCCTGTTTGCTGTTTAACACGATGAAGTTTAATGATAGGACGCCCAAGGGTGACGAATAAGAGCAGAATTGCATATCTGATATAAAATTTATAACAACAATAGTAAGTTAGATTGAATTTTTGCGAGTTAAATTATTTTCAATCGACCTACTGTAGATATTAACTCCAGTTGTTGACCTTCTGGTCTTGTAAGCAATTTCTTTCTTAGAAAGCACAATTGGTAAGATCCCATTTTGATGGTTTGTGCACACTGCACGAACAGAAGATCATAACATGACTGGGCGCATTTATTATTGCGCCACCATCCAAGTCCTCAGTTTTGACCATCAAAGCATGCCGCACCGGCTCACTAGTGTGGGTATCCGCTCAGCAGTTTGTTTAGTACGGGCCGCGTGTACTGCTCCGAGCCCCTGCGACTCGTGTGTGGGGTCAGACCACCACACTGAAATGTGTAAATTCTCATTAAAAGATGTGATCCAATCTTTTAGTAAAAACAGGGAGTGATGCAGTTCCTTACCTTCCTGCCGCTGGCTGATGGCGGACGACGACAAGATGTCACTTGGGTCGTATTTCAATACAGGATATTTGTTTGTTGTATCTCGTCCATAAGGGGATTTTATTGCGCCTTTCAGTTGAGAATTAAGCGCCTTGAATATGTTACATTATATTTTTATGCAAAGTAGATACAAGAATAAACATTATTGACACCCATGTGAAATATATTGATATTTCTGTGTTGTCATAATGATCAAGGGCATAATTTGCATATGTATTAAGAATGACATTCTTTCCTGAGAACTTCAATAACCTGCCATCTTCATCTGTAGTGTGTGTGTGTGTAACCCCACCAGTGAAAGAGGAAGCGAGGAATCGTTTGTTCTCAATTTGTACTATTACAATCAGAACGGAATGTTATAAAAGAATGGTGAATGTAGTTCAGGATCTCAACACAGCTGGCGTTGTATTATCTCGTTTAGTTTTGCTACTGATTCATTCGGAAAGAGACGAACTTTTGTAGGTGCTTACAATAGTGTAGACTGTAGACAACCCCCCCGACCCCTCCGCCATTACCTCCAGGCGTCGCGCGGAATGGGGATCCGTGCACATAGAACACACCATTACTTGTTTTCCTAACCTTAACTCTTCTTCAATAAACACTGAAAGTTGATTTAAGCAAAATTTTTCGAATTTATTAATACTCACAATGTAATTTATTGATTTATCAGACGAAAACAGTCGGAAATGGTCATAAATGTCATTTATGTGCAGCTTGTTCGGGGAGGAGACGGACTGTGTGCCAGATATTACAGACGATCGTGTGCAGGGGTTTCGCTGTCGTGAGTGTGTATTTATTTATTTTATGTATGTATGTATTATGTATGTATGTATGTATGTATGTATGTATGTATGCGTGTGTTTGTTTCTTTATATAAATGCACTTCAACAAAAGTATTTATATACAGAAAGATAAACCATAACTAAAATCATCATACATTAGCTAAATCCCCTCCTCACTAGTACAACCATCTGGCAACACAGGAGCATTAAAAAAAAAAAAGAACTCGAACGCCACATACACTTACCTCTCCTCCAGGTAACTCGATTAATTGCTACTGAATAATAGATAAGGAGGAAGATACTGCCAGGATAAATTTTCCTCCAGTTTGCCGTTTTGATTGACAACAGTTAAAGCAACAAACACTCGAGATAAACAATTGAATATTTGATGATTGAGTCTTGTTGATTGTTTCCTGTTAATTACTGCTTGTATTCATTGGTTATTGCTTATAGTCATTAGATTTTAATTGGTGTTCATTGATTATTTTTTTAAATGCTGATTAGTTTTGTTTGTGTTAATTTGTACTTGATTGTGTTGGTTGTTTATTTTAGCCATTGACTCTTTTGCTCTTGTGACGATTTATATGATGATTGTGTTGATTGTCTTGTTGATTGTGTTGCTGGACTTGTTTATTTTATTGATTTTCTTGTTTATTGTGTTGATTGACTTGTTGGTTGCGTTGCTTAATTTGTTTACTGCATTGTCTTGTTTATTTTGTTGATTGGATAAATTGATTGACTTGTTTACTCTCTTGATTGTTTCGTTATTGTTTTGGTTTACTTGTTTCTTCTGTATGTTTGTTTTGTTTAAATGTGTGTAATAACTTGTTTGTTGTTGCTTGAACCTTGATTATTGTTGCTTAACTTATTTATTGTGTTGAATGACCCTTGATTATTGGATTAATTTTTTTTTTGCGTTGATTGGATGTTCAGTCTTGTGTTCACACTTGTTTGTTATGTTGATTGGAACTTGTTTGTGGCTAGAATTTGATTGATTGGTTAGTGATTGTTTATTGTTTTGAGGGCCGTGAGATCTGAGCATCAGCTGGTTACAATACAGCGCTAACATGTGTAGCAGTACCACACTAATTGGCGTGATGTAACTGCGCCAACTGGCCTGTCGTTACTGACTCAGCTGGCGTGACGTCATTGCACAAGTTGGTAAAATTCCCTGAAGCGGCTGGCCTGACATTGCGTCATTGCACCGACTGAAGTAACTTCTCTACACACTGCACCAGCTGTAGCAACATCACTGCCACGGTTGTCACTGCCGCAGCCGCCATCATGTCACTGCCGCAGCTCCCACCACTTCACTGCCGCAGCTGCCATCACGTCACTGCCGCAGCTGCCACCACGTCACTGCCACAGCCGCCATCACGTCACTGCCGCAGCCGCCATCACGTCACTGCCGCAGCCGCCATCACGTCACTGCCGCAGCCGCCATTACGTCAATGCAGCAGCCGCCATCACGTCACTGCCGAAGCTGCCATCACGTCAATATTTCAGCTGTCATCACGTCACTGCCGCAGGTACCATTACGTCACTGCTACAGCTGCCATCGTGACACTGCCGCAGCTACCATCACGTCACTGGCGCAGCTGCCACTGTTACAGTTGTACCATTCACGTCACTGCTCATCAGCTGCCATCGTCACTGCCAGCAGCTGCCATCACGTCATGTCTGGCTGCATGCTGCCATCACACTCAGCTGCCATCACGTCACTGCCGCAGCTGTCATCATGTCTCTGTTACAGCTGTCATCATGTCACTGTTACAGCTGCCATCACGTCATTGCCGCAGTTGGCATCACGTCACTGCCACAGCTGCCATCACGTTGCTGTTACAGTTGCCATCACGCGTCACTGCTGCAGCTGTCATCATGTCACTGTTACAGCTGTCGTCATGTCACTGCCGCAGCTGTCATCACGTTTTTGTTACAGCTACCATCACGTCACTGCCGCAGCTGCCATCACGTCATTGTTACAGCTGCCATCACGTCACTGCTACAGCTGCCATCTAGTCACTGCACTGGGTGTCGTGACGACCCACCTTCATGACCATCACCTCGGCCTGGTGACCCACCACTGTGAAGACTTTTCTTCCTATTTGTTTTTTCATTTCTTCTCGTCCATTTAAGTCTCCCTTCTCTCTCAGTAGCCACCTCCCTCTTTTCTCCATTCATTTTCCCTTTCCCATTCCTTCTATCGGTCTCCACAAAGCCCCCCTTCCATCTTTTCCACCATATCCATCGCCCCCTTTAACCCTCCCCTCCCTTTCCCTCCTCCCGAAGAGAAGGGAATGTAGGTGGCGGTAAGAGGGAGGGGTGACTCAGTACCAGGTAGGTGGGAGGTCTTAGCCCCGAGGATCAATGACCTTTATCGACCGGCAAGTGACCTGAAACATCGTCCTGGGTCACGTGATGGAGTGGTGAAGGGTAGGGAGTAGACACAGTGATAGGGAGATGAAGGGAAGGGAGGAAAGGGAGTAGCATAGGAGGAGAAAGAAGGGGGATAGGGACGGAAGGAGAAGGAATGAAAAAGAAGGGAAGGGAGTGTAAAGGAAAGGGGAGGAAAAAGAAGAGATAAAATAGTATAGATACGAAAGTTAAAATTGGAAGAGGAAAAAGAGGAAAAATATAAGAGGAGGAGGAAGCAACGGGAGGTAGAAGGGTGAGAGAGGGAAGGTGTGGCAGGTGTGTTATAAGAGAGGGAAGGTGTGGCAGGTGTGTTATAAGAGAGGGAAGGTGTGGCAGGTGTGTTATAAGAGAGGGAAGGTGTGGCAGGTGTGTTATATCATGATAGTGACGTTATCAAGAACCTGCACATTGAGGACAAGAGTCGAGGATTTACCGCCCTGGCACCATTATCTCCTGTCAATATTGACTTAAAACATGTTCGTGTTTTTATATCCCTCTCTCCCTCCCTCCCTCCCTCCCTCCCTCCCTCCCTCTTCCTCCCTTGCGCATGTTGGGGGGACATATCCGTGCTGTGAAATACGTGTGTCTGTAGTGAGGGAGGGCTATCACCATCACCGGGGTAGTGAGGGAGGGCTGTCACCATCACCCTGGTTAATGAGGGAGGAGTGAAGGGAAGATCACGGGGTATATGAATGGTGACACAAAATGACATGAAGATTCTTGACAAAGATTATTAGTACATGGAGATGATTGGTGACATGAAGTTTAAGAATGGTGTTGTGAGGTTGATGCGTAGATACACAAGGTAGATGGTGACATAGTAGAAGGTAGATGAATAGTGACATGATCGACATTAATTTGTGACATGATATACATGAATAGTGACGTGATGTACGAGTATGTGGAGGTAATTTTACGTAAAAGTTAATGAAGTGTAAACCAATCACCTCACAAGACACCCTCACATCTACCTCGTAGTGACCAAGGAGAAAAAAGACAAGTAGTGATGAATAAATATATTTACACAAGAATACACTGCCTGTGAGTAGTACACAAACTCAAAAACAAACATTCATGGTGTTCCTCTGCGCATACAAAAACACCTATAACCATAACATTATTTATTATTATTATTATTATGCATTTTGCCCTTGTGTAGTGCTTACACTGGAGATTATTTTACACCAGTCGTGAATAAAAACTATGCAACCAAAAAAATAATAATACAAAGATGAGAAAGTGAAAAACATGAAGCTATGGAGGTGAGAGTCAGAAGTTGGTGTCGTAGTGTATTGAGCTGCTCTCTCGATCACCACACACACTACTAAGTTATCAGCTGTGAGGCCAAAAGCTTATATCTCTCATCACATTAAAAAAATAGCAATGGAATGTTTTCTTCATCATGGTTCAAAGGACCACCTCTCAGATATACTTCATTCGTAAATCATATACTGAATGGTCTAGCAAATATCACACTTGTTAAGTTGACACGGTCTTCTCGTGACTGAGAACGCAACTGTGAGTGAGTGGGGAAAGGAGGAGGGGGGGGACAGGAATTCACTGGGTAGCTCTGGTGGGTAGGAATAGGAGCTGAGGGAAGGTAGGGAGAAGGGTAATGGTGGGGAAGAGGAAGGGAGGTTGGTAAGGGAGAGAATTACTATGCCATCACACCCCTGGTCATGATATCTAGGAGGAAGGGGAAGGAGTATCATCTGTACCCCCCCAGTTACGTAATCTATTAAAAGGGACGGGGGTAGCTCTGGACACTCTGCGGACACACACAGCCATGTTTCACTATCACAAGCATCAGCTGGGCGTTGCTGCTACGTCAGGCCAAACTGCTAAAACACCAGCAAAACTTGGGCTAAACACTGGAAATTGTTCTACTTTACATTACAGTTGCGGTCTCAGTCAGACCGCGCGGGGTAAATTGGTGTTGGTTTTTATAAATAGGATGACCTGCACAAGTTACAGCTGACGCATCACTAGTCAGTAGGAAATTGACAGGTCTGCTCTTATTTACATTATCAAACAAGGTTTATAGTATGACAATATCAAAATTCTGTACTACGAAGCAAGACATTCTGCTACTATTAATATTACCACACCTTTGACCCCCTGTACCACACCTCTATCGCTACATCCAATGGCTTCAAAATTACTGTACTGTATCTTCATGAAAAAATTTGGATTTACATTTTAGCTATTCTTGGCTAGTCATCCCTCCAACACAGTATTTTACTTCGTTTAATTAAGTGATCTGTGTAATTATCAGTGCGGTGTGGGTAACGGGGAAATGATATTCATAGCTAAAAGTTACTGTTTTTAACATATATATATATATTAATAATCACAGTAAAATGCTAAGTGTCGAGGGATGTTGGACAAATAATGGACGTAGAAACTTGTTGTTTTGCTTTTGATTTCCGATGTGTAAAGATGAGTGGGGCGTGTGGGTGGTGCTGCCATTCTCTCCCACACATGTATACTAACTCAAAACAGTCATGTACTGTATACTCATGTCTACTGACTCAGTAAACTTCACCTTGATGCTGTAGGCACCTTCATCAAAAATACACCAACATATCTCAAAAACTCCACAGGTTGCATCTGAGTAAACAATTTACATGATATTTTCACACTTGGTCTCCTTATATCTTGAAGGCTTCATACACGACACAGCAAAAATGACTCATGTTTATAAGACTGACTCGGGTAGTTGCCCGGTAGCGTAAGTTAATGAATGCATCAGATCCATTCAGCACCACAGCTAATGTTTACTAATACACTAATGTTAAAACACCTGGACCAGCTGAGCAAGTGACACTCGTTTAATAGTTCACATCACCTGGGACCAGGAAAGCTTATTAACGCCTTATTCCTTCTAAACATAAAATAATGAATCAAAGAATTTTTACTTTATTGATGTTAGAGATAGAACTAACTAGAATTGAGACAACGTAAGATATAATAAAGATATCCGAGGACATACTAACTAACTTACATATATCTTGATAAAATAAGTCTACAGATTTCAGAGCAAATATTACATCTTATGAATTTCGGAGCAAAAATAATAAAAAAAATACCGGGAAAAAAGCATCCCAGATACAGGTATACAGTTTTAATTATTGAGTGTAATGAAGTTAATGAGAGGCGTTGTACGTTCTCTCTCGGGTAAATCACAGGTGCAGCTCCTTTGTGGGTGTTAATCTTCTCACGTGCTTACACAGGCCACTATTAACTCGTGTCCAGATGTTTGTGTCATCACTTTTGAATGTTATCACGACTAAGTATGTTTTAAGATGACATGTTCAGGTGTTCATGGCCTCAGAGTGTCGTCTATGAATATTATTATGGTTGGGTGTCCTCGCACATATCTGTTCCCGGCAAGATAACTCACGATGACAGCTGTGGCTATCAGTTACTTCTCTAATTATGATCTAAGAAATAACTTCCAGGAATTCTTGGCTGTTGCTTTACATCTTCACCTAAATACTTGTTCTCAGGCGTGTTTTATTGTGTTCCTTTCTGTATAATAATTTATATGTTCGAAATATCTACTTGATCTCCTAAATAGAATTACTTCGCAATATCCGGTATTTATTGGTAAATTCTCGCTTCTCAATAAACTACACTTTTCAGTCTTGATATTTCTGTATTTTTTGTTTACATCTGATCATAATTTTTCATATCACTAAAAATATTAGAAATTCGAAATACTTTTTCCACAAAATATTATGATTCGGTTTTCTTCTGTTTTTCGATACGAGAAATTCCGAGTTTTGGCAAGATCATGTTCTATACATTTCACCCCCCCCTTAAACCTCCTTTCGTCCTTTCTCTCCTCTCACTTTACTTATGAATCACCTCTTATCTACCTTTCCCTCTCACTTTTAATTAGGATCACCTCTTATCTATCTTTCCCTCTCACTTTTTAATTAGGATAGCCTATTATCCACATCACCCTCCTACTTACATAATGAATCGCCTCTCCCTCTCATTCAAATTCCCCTTCCATCTTTATTTCTCCATCCATATCATAATCATGTCTCCCTTCTTCCTCCTTTATCTGTGTTGCCATTGCTCTTCCTCTTTAGCATACCTTCTCGTTATTTATACCTCTTTTATCACGCCACCTTATATAATTACACCTTTATCTTGTATCTTTTCCATTCTTCTTAATCACACCGCTTTGTCATCTCTATATCATGTTTCTTAACTGTCTCTTATCATACTGAATCGTCACATTGCTTTAACTTTTCTTTACCACGCCTCTAAATCACTCCTCTTTACCACGCCTTTCAACCACGCCTCTTTACCATGCATCATCATTATCTAAGGAGTCTGATCTTGTATATACACACACACACACACACACAGGTGTCACCATACTTAGGGCCTCCTCCTTCGTGGTCACCTCCACCTCGCTCCTGGTCCTTAGGTTGGAGGCCTTTGTGTTGGAGGGGAGGGTTGAGAAGACTTTTGTGGTGGGGAGGTGGTGGTAGTGGTAAAGGGCTCTCTACTGGAGGCGGTGTAGACAAAAGTTATGACTTATTTAGGACGATAGAGTGGAGGTTTCTATGGTGGAGGGAGGCTTTTGTGGTAGAAGAGTTGGAGGCTTCTGTGATGGAGGTAGAGGTTTCTGTCATGAAGTAGGAGGCTTCTGTAGTGGAGATATTTGTTCGTGGAGGCTTTTGTGGTGGTGGAGGAGGAGGCTTCTGTGGTGAAGGTTTCTCGTGGAGGACGACTACTACTGCTGTTGGAGGCCACCGTTGTAGGCGTAGTCAGCCTTGTTATGCATGATGAGCTTGTCGTCGACGAAGTAAAAGCTGTCGCTGCGGGTGTCGAACGGGTTCTTGATCATCTCCTCCGCTGGGAACAGAGAAAGAAAAACAATGTTAATACACATTTATACACCATTAAGAATGTAATAAAATAAGGAAGTAAAACTGCTTAGATGCGGAACGGACAATGATGGTGCAGCATCACTTGTGGGGGATGAGGGTATTGGGGGGAACATTCTTATTTTCGATCTCATCTTGAGGTACCAGGAAGCTATCAGAAATAATGTTCAGTATACATTACACCTCGCTCTTAGGCTTGTGCACTTAAGTCTTCCCATATTTTATATCATTATGCCAAGGTAAACAAAATTCAGCATACAATTACTCATCAGAACATTTGTATAAAAATATTCCTATCTGTGACAGTAATTAAAGAAAAATAAGATTGGTCAATAAATGATAATGAGTGGAAGAAAATAGCATTATCTTCGATTATTAATATTTATGACCCAAAAGTTGATATGAATAAAAATATATTCCAGTCATGACTAATGTTTTATATATGACAACTCTTCCATTTGATCTTCAGTGAAGGTCCCTAGTGTAACTATTTTACATCTCGATGATTACCGCAACACACTGACATTACCTCCATCCTTCCATCCACTCCCCTCCTCCTCCCAACTACCCCCACCCCCATCCTCCTTCCACCCAGTTTTCTCCTGCTTCCACTCAGCCCTCTCCTTCTTCCACCCCACCCTCCTCCTCCCACCCACCCCACCCTCTACCTCCCACCCAGCCCACCCTCTCCTCCCACCCAGCCCACCCTCCTCCTCCCACCCAGCCCACCCTCCTCCTCCCACCCAGCCCACCTCCTCCTCCCACCCACCTCCTCCTCCCACCCACCCCACCCCTCCTCCTCCCACCCACCCCACCCTCCTCCCCCCACCCACCCCACCCTCCTCCTCCCACCCCCCCCACCCTCCTCCTCCCACCCACCCCACCCTCCTCCTCCCACCCACCCACCTCCTCCCACCCACCCACCTCCTCCTCCCACCCACCCACCCCACCCTCCTACGTCCAAGGTCTCATAAACAGAAACAAAGATAAATAATTCTGTTTACCTTTGGTCAGGTACACAACAACCATCAGTGTCTGGTCAGGTAACATATTACTTTTTTCTGAATTGAGGAAAAAAATGAGTAAACATTTTATTTCCATACTGTATTGTGGTAACAACATTAACTGTCGCTAAAAAAGAATAATAAACGAGTCCGGCTGTGTATGACAAACCACTATACCAGTGTGTGACTATATATATATATATATATATATATATATATATATATATATATATATATATATATATATATATATATATATATATATATATATATATATATATATATATATATATATTATACTGATCGATGTTTTCTTTCGTGTAATTCACATCTTCAGGGGTAGTTGCAGTCTGGGAGATCACGCGCTCCTACAGTGATTTACTTGCATATATATATATATATATATATATATATATATATATATATATATATATATATATATATATATATATATATATATATATATTAATGTGTGCGTGTGGGTGAGCGTGACTGGGTTGCGTGCCGCTTGACACAGTTTTCCAGCATTTACCAAAAAGAATCAGAGTCGACACGTGACGCACAGTGTGGTGGACAGTGTTTATATCACAAGCTTTTGGGGTTAAAACACACCCAGTGTGGCGGGTGTATAGGAGGACCACACACATGACTGACTTAAACATGAGCGACCACTGGGAGGGGCGATGTATGTTTGGCAATTTTGAAGACAAAATATGTATAAAGTTTATATTAAACACACCTCAAGCCTCTTTGTCCCCTGTCTTGTTCTCGTCCGAAGCGTCTCATGACTGTAAACAAAGACACTGACACATACTTGTCACTCAACCAAAGTCACACAACACACCTGGCTAGCTCAACACATAACACACCTGGCTAGCTCAACACATAACACACCTGGCTAGCTCAACACATAACACACCTGGCTAGCTCAACACATGAATACCTGATTGTACAACTACCTCTATTACAACCAGCACCACTAAACTACCACCTGCTTCTACAACAACTACTACTACAATCTCAACCATTGCCATCACCACTACTACTATCAACACCAATGATACATAAACCTAATATTAAAACAACTAAGTCTACTACTATCATCATCAACATCACTACCATTACTGCCATAACGACTATTACCACTTAACATTACCACTTTCTTCACCATCACCACCACTCTTCACCATCACCACCACTTATAGTACCATCAGTCATCACCACCGCCATTACCACCACCACCACCCCTCACCACTACTACTACCAACACCACCAGTACTATCATTACCACCACTATTAACACCATCCCCATTATCATTACATTAACAATTCCCATCATCACAACCCCCCACCTACCACCACACCACTTACAACACCAACACCACCACCAACACCACCACCACCACCACCACCAACACCAACACCACCACCTACCACCAACAACAACAACAACAACAACAACACCACCACCACCAACAACAACAACACCTACCACCAATAACCACCAACAACAACTACCACCACCTGTATCAACATCAGTGCCTACGTGACCCACAGCAGTAATCAGGTCATACCAGGTTACATGGAGAGGGAGGGTGTTGATGGGGTCAGTGGGGGGGGGGACGGTGGTTCGATCCGATTATTGACCTCTGAAGCACTTGGTAAATTCCTGCCTGACATGACAAGCGGCGATCGTAAATTAAAACAGTGACGGGGGGAGGGGGGGTTAAGGCAGAAGGCGATAAAGAGAAGAAAAAAGAGGAGATAGAAATAGGAGAGACCAAAACTGAAAATACTAGGGTAGAGAGAAAGAGGTGGAAGAAGCACAGCATAAAAACTGAAAGAGGAAGAAGTGAGAGAGAGAGAAAAAAAGAGAGGGCACTAGGAAAGACAAAAACGGAAAGAGGTGAAAAGGGGGAAAAAGATGACATGTAATAGAGACAAGAGGAAGAAGATGGGCACAAAAAGAGGTACAAGAACAGAATGTGACAATAGAGGGACGGAGAAAGAAAGAAAGACAGGAAAGAAGGAAGGAAGGAAAAGGAAGATACAAAGGTGAAAGAGGAAGGAGGAATAGACAGACTAAAGACGGAAGAGGAAGAAGATATAAATTCAACCGGAGAACCATGAAAGTGTTTGAAGTTTTTGGGAGGAGGGAGGGGAAAGGGGGGGGATGAAGGAGGAGGAGGAGGTTGGAGAAGAGATAAGGGAGGAGGAGGAGGAGGAGGAAGAGCAAGAAGAGGAGGAGAGGGGAGATATTAGGAGGAGGGGAGAAGTGAGGGGGAGATGAGGGAGCATTGCTATGGGGGAGCTGTTGTTAAGGGTAGGCAGTTGCTAAGAGGAGCTGTTGCTTGAGGGGGCAGCTGCTAGGAGGACACATTGCTAGGGGACCAGGTGCTAGGGGACACAGGTGTTAGGGAAGGCAGCTGCTGGGGGCACAGTTACTAGGGCAAGGCAGCTGCTGGGGACACAATTGCTAGGGGACACAGGTGTTAGGGGAAGGCAGCTGCTAGGGGGCACAGTTGCTAAGGGAGGGTAGCTGCTAGGGGACACAGTTGCTAGGGGAAGGTAGCTGCTGGGGGGGGGGGACAGTTGCTAGGGGAAGGCAGCTGCTCGGAAACACAGTTGTTCAGGGCAGGCAGTAGGCAGGGGGAAGAAGAGGAAATTAAATATGCCATCAAAAGGAATAAACCTTGGGGAGATAAACACAGGAACAAGTACAGTTGGTCTAATTAACTTAATGACTCGACCTGACCTACAATGGTGACCTTGACCAATGACACAGTACTGAAGTAGGTGTCGTGATGTTGATCTTGTGGTGAAACCTAGTTAAGTAGTGAGTACACACACACACACACACACACACACACACACACACAGCTTGATACGTCTGCTTTTCTATATACATGTAAAAAATAATACAGATTCTTTCAATTCTACTTTAAACGCCAAGATAATTTCTGATTAGATTCCACAATTAATTCTGAGAAAACATCATCTTCGGCAGGAGTAAGGTCGTGTCTAATGCAGGTGGCATTACCCTCACTACCTCCGGTGACACAAGACCTACGAGGTCTCATACTGTCACTAACTAATACCGTCTGTGCATAACTTCTTAATTTCTTGTTTGAAAAAAAATCGAGTTATAAAACCATTTTCTTTTTGTTTCGTTCATATGAAACAATAAACTAAAAAATCATGTTTATTTGCCACATTCGAGTTTCAGAATACTTTCATAAGTTCAATCCTGTGTTTCATTAACATAATTATTGTGTCATATGCCGCATTTGCCTCGTTCGTGAGTTTGAGACAAATATAATTTGCCAAATTTAAGTTTCAAAACCTCGTCTTATTCTTTGATTAAGCCTTTGTTAATTAGAGTAAAATAACTACCTGGTGTGGGTGAGACAAACACTAGTGTGTGGAAGTAGTTTAGCCAAGCTGTGGGTGCGTGCCAGTGTATTGACCCCGCGCCCCCACACCACAACCAGCCCGGCTGTATGCGGCCCCATAAAGCCGTGTTTTCCCAGACTGTCTGGTCATGTGACTCCTTGCTACAGCAGCCACAGCTGTACGGTGTTACAGCACCATCCCGCAGCTGTACAGTGTTGTAGTACCAACACACAGCTGTACAATAGTGTAGTACCATCATACAGCAATGCAGTGTTGAAACATTATCACATAGCTGTAATTGATGCAGCATCATCATACAGCTATGCAGTGTTTCTGCAGCATCACACAGCTATGCAGTAGTGCGCCAGAATCACACAAGTATACAGTGTTGTAGCAACACACAGCTGAACAGTCTTGTAGCCATAGCATTTCAAGTAGTCAAAAAAAAGGACGTTTGCTGAATGCAGAAGTTTACGTCAGCCATACGTCCGCTACGCGTCAACTACGTAAGGCATTCGTCTGCATTATCTTAATTAGCCCTTAGTTAAGTTCGTTTGCCATTCTTGGTTTC